TATTTCCAGCCTCCCCCCGCGACCTGACCTGCGTCTCCGCAGCTGTCAGAGTCCTGGCGCGCGCCTTCTTGTAGTGCTGTGGATGACATCCATCAACACGTGCACTGGAAGTCCAGGACCGTGACACGTTCGTTTGAATTCAATGTCACGCTTGTCTCAGTGTGACTCGGCTAGGCGCCGCCCTCGTATGATGCCTTGAGTCACATCCAAACAACGAATGTCACAAGATGTTCCACTGAGTCTCACAACAGATGTTCAACCGAATGTCACAAGACGTTGAAACTAAAGATTTACGTTCGAACGAATGTGACTTCACATCCATGGGTTCCAGTGTAGCTCGCGTGGTGAACGGCAGGAAAGCTGCTGGCGTTGCGTGATTGGTGCACGGCGGGCAGAAGGTGCCCACAGTGTGCCCGCAATGACAGGCTAACAGAGTGACGGAGAGCCTGAAGCGAGTGTCATCAGCGTGGGCGACTCACAGCGACTCGCGGCCAATAGCACTAATGGCGAGGATGCGAGATGCAACGCAAGATGGCGGCGCTTCAGTTGCAAGAAGACGAACAATGGCTGTGTGTGTGTGAGTGCGTGCGCGTGCGTTTGCGTGCGTGGATGCGTGTTGCCGTGAGTGACTGACTCATTGTGCCGTTTCCCCGCATCACGCCGTGGGCGCGTTGCCTCAGTGCCGTTTGTGTGTGTGTGTGTGTGTGTGTGTGTGTGTGTGTGTGTGGTGTGTGTGCGTGTGTGAGTGTACTTACGCCGCGGAGAGGTGTCGCCCAATAATCAGGCCTCCTTGACCAACGGGACGGCGTGCCATTGTTCCTCCTCCACCCCTGCGACTTGCGCGATGGCCACGCTGTGCGACGCTCAACGCGATCGAGCACTCCGTCGTCATCGTCATCCTGGCCGCCCACCGCGGCTTGTTTCCGGTGTGGGCGCCACCGAGCCGCCGCGGCGCGCCGAGAGAGGATTCTAGACACGAGCCGGCCTACCCGCCCCGCGGGGCTTGCTGCAGGCCTTGCTGCAGGCCTTGCCGCCTGACCCACGACCTGTTGGACGGCGGCGCGGTGCACGCCGAGAGGTTGTTGTGTCTTGGCGCGGTGGGCCACGCGGCTACGCCACCGCCACGCCGCCGCCAGCGGCTTGACTCCGAACAGTCGTCGCTCTGTCCCTCTCGCACTCACGAGGCGTGCCTCTGGGGCGGGAGAGAGACGGCGTGGAGCCGCCGTTCGGGGCCAGCCTGCTGCCGCCTGCTGCCGCCGCGGCCACGCCGTGCCGCGTGCGGTTCCCTTTGAAGTGGTCCCGGCCGCAGCCTTGCACTTGCACCGCGATTGCGCTTTGCTTCGCCGGGATGGCGCCGAGAATTTGTGGATGCCAGCGGCGTGGATTCGGAAGGGAAGGGCGAAAGTGAGGCATAAAGTCGCACTTTGCCCCCTGCCAACAGGCAACTTTTGAGACATCCCCCCAGAAAACGTCCCTGGATCTGCTCCTGACTACCCCGCGGCCGGCGCGAGGTCGATGCCAGACCAGACCCGCCGCCGCCGACCACGTGGGGGCCGCGGGGCGTGGCGGGGCGTGGCGGCGTGGCGGGGCGTGGCGGGGCGGGGCGGGGCGTGGCGGGGCGTGCGCGGGGCGGGGCGGGGTGGGGCGGGGCGGGGCGGGGTGGGGCGGGGCGTGGCGGGGCGGGGTGGGGCGTTCCCGGGGTGGTCGCCGCGGCACACACGCACTCACACAAGCGCGGCCCCGTGGCGCGCATGCAGTCGATGCTTCCGCCAAGCGACCCCATTTCGGCGGGCCGCTCCTCGCAACGTGCAGCACGGCCTACACGGCCAGCACGGCCTGCACGGCCTGCACAGTGTGCCTGCACTGCACGGGGTGGGGCGGCGGCAGCGCGGTTCGGCAGCCAAGTCACGCAGTGCGCGCCGCGCCTCGTCCCGCCGCCCGGAAAAAAGGCGACCGGCGCGAGGCTTTGAACCCGCCGCGTGCGCGTGCGTGAACTTTGGAGAGTCCGGCCTGCATGGCATGATACGGGGCGTCCCGGGGGAGCGAGGGGCGTACCCGAGAAGGGCTTCCCGGCGGCAGAGATACGGCGCTGCTGTTCATTGTCAGGGTCGGCCGGGGCGTGGCGGGGCGGGGCGAGGCGGGGCGGGGCGGGGCGGGGCGTGGCGTGGCGGGGACGGCGGCCCGCCGACGGCGAACCCGAATCCGCCAATGACGCCACCAGAGGACGACGACGTTGAGGAAGTCGCGCGTGACTTGGAACTCCCCCGCCACCCTGTCATGCACGTCCGCGTCGTCCGCGCCTCGGACACTACACTGTGGGGGCATTGTGCGGTGCGGCGGGGCGGCGGGGCGCCTCGCGTGGCGAGTCAGGCCAGTGAGGCCCGCATGGCTGCGTGTCTGTCCGTCGCCGCGCCTCGGACACTACACTGTGGGGGCATTGTGCGGTGCGGCGGGGCGGCGGGGCGCCTCGCGTGGCGAGTCAGGCCAGTGAGGCCCGCATGGCTGCGTGTCTGTCCGTCGCCGCGCCTCGGACACTACACTGTGGGGGCATTGTGCGGTGCGGCGGGGCGGCGGGGCGCCTCGCGTGGCGAGTCAGGCCAGTGAGGCCCGCATGTGCGTGTCTGTCCGTCGCCGCGCTCGGACACTACACTGTGGGGGCATTGTGCGGTGCGGCGGGGCGGCGGGGCGCCTCGCGTGGCGGTCAGGCCAGTGAGGCCCGCATGGCTGCGTGCCTGTCCGTCGCCGCGCCCCGGCCTCACGCACGCTGCGGCTCGTTCTTGCCGCCTACGGGGCGTTCCGAAGAGACGAGCAAAGCCACGGCTGGCCCGCCTGGCCGGCCGGCAGTGCAAAGGCGTCAAAAAATACACTGTGCAGGTTTGCGGGGCGTGCGGGCGTGCGGGCGTCACTTGCGGGGCGTGTTCAACGCGCTTCCAGTGGGCCCTGCCTCGTCCTGCCGCGCCCGCCCTCGAACACTCCCCTCGTCCCCCGGGTCGCACTCCGCGTTCAGAAGCAAAGCCGGAAAGCCGCGCTGGCCAGCGGCCTGGGCTCGGCCGAGGCAGCGCAGAAGAACAAAAACTGTTGCATTTCGTAAGCTGCTCAGAAGAATCAAGAATTTGCCTCTGTGCGCCGCCATTGAGCCCGTGGCTCTCCCTCCGCCGCGCTCCGGGGCCCACTCAGTCTATCTCCCTTTCCGCCCGGCCCATCTCGCGCAACAAGCAAACCGGGCCAAGCCCGGCCGAGCCGGCCGAGCTGGCTGGGTCTTCGGGCCGAGGCAGCGCAGGCCATCCATCGGCCATCAACTTGCCTGTTCAAGTAGAGCTCGCCATCTGTGCCCGCCTGCGCCGGCCTCGCCACGGCTCCGGTTGCCCACTCGCCATCATCTGGTCTTTCCGAATCCTGCTCCCCCCCCTTTTCAAACCGCGCGTTGGAATCGGAAAAACTAACGCTGTTGACCTCAATTCCGGTCGATCGGACACATTGTTGCCTGTTTTAGCGTTTTTTGGGTGTGGCTTTCCTCACCGATGCCGGTGTTCCGCGGGGGCTTGTGACGAGAAACCTGTTTCGGGCGTTGTCGTCAGACGTGGCCTATGGAACATGCCGCTACCAACGACCAGCTCCCGCCCTTCGGGTGCATAATAAACTTCTTTCAGGAAATTTTAATTTTTGGAAAATATTTTTTTGGTGCCGTGGGCGGTGAGCCTGGGGCGGTGAGGTAGCTCCTCCCCTTTGATGTAAAACATTCAGCAGGGCATACAGGGCCTCGCGGCGCCTCGCGCCTCGCATTCGCGCTGCCCGCAAAGTGGCGCGCTTTCAGCGGCTCTGCGCCGATTTTTTCGTTTCCCGCTTTTCTTTTTTTTGTTCCCAGCTTTCAATTATTCCCAGGGAGGCGCTCTGCTAGCTCTGCTCGCGGACGGTGGCGCCCTCTGCACTTTGTAGCGCCATGGCGCCATGGCCCGGCACACTGGGGGGGGGGGGGGCACACTGTGGGGTGAGCGACGCCCATGCATCGCCAATCACGGCACGAAAAAAGGGAAGGGAAAAAAATGTTGCAGCCGGCAGTATTTGATCCTGCGCCCCAGATCTCTCTTCTCTTTCCCGCGCCACTGTAGGCACCCCTCGATGGAGCGCTACGGACGAGCGGGGACAAACGGAAGAAGAAGGGAAATGTGTAAATGCAAGTAAAATGTGGATGTCGGCCAAACAACTGAGTCAACAGGTCGCGCCGCTTCGCCGCGCCATTGTGTGCTCGCCGTCGCCGCGAGTGCGACAGAGACAGACAGCCAGCGCGGCGGCCGGGGGCGCAAATGATTAGCGGACGCCCTTCGAAGCCCCGATTTGAGCGGGGAAAAGGAGGCGTTAGTTTAGAGCCTTCTCAAAATAACACTCCTTGTGCTCGGCGGGCTCGGCCACGGAGGAAGCCTGCCGCGCGCTGCGCTGGGTGGGGGTGGCGGACAGACAGACGAATAGGCAGACAGACAGACAGACAGACAGGCAGGCAGGCACACACACGGCGGGACAGGCGGACATAGGTTGTCGCCACTGGCGGCCATTAGCGTTTGTCACTTGAATCCCCCTCTCAGTCACGGCCTTCGAAATGATGCCACCGTGCTGCGCGGCGCCGCGCCACCCGTCAGATAAAAATTTCGAATCTATGGCACGCAACCGAAATGCTCGAATTTCACGGTGGTGTGGCGGCGGCGGCCTCAGCGTTCGGTCCTGCAGAGCGTCGGTTGCATCCGCACTGTGGGCACCGTGCGTGTTGCGCCAGCCGATTCCGAGAGTCGTTTACGTCGCTGTCTCTCTCGTACTCGTGAGGCGTTCCTTTCTGGTGCGAAAGAGACAGAGCAATGAAAGCGGCTCTCGGAATCAGCCTGCAGCTCGCCGCCCTCGCTTGGCGCCGTCAGGTTGGCTGCCTTGGCTGCCGGCCGGCGTGCGGCCCGTGCGGTCCGTGCGCGCAGGTTGGCAGTGCCGGCAGCAGACGACGCGCGTGTTGACAGCCGCTCGTCAGTTTGTTCCCGAGTGGCGCGACGCGGACGCAGCGTTTGCCGGATTTGTGATTTGTGCTTGTTTACGTTCCAAGTGTTCCGCGTGTTTGGTTTTTGCTGCTTCTCGGCGCGGCGCCGCGACTGCCAGTCGGTATGTATAGACGCGCTGTGCGAATGAGTGTTGGTGGCGAGGCGAGGCCTGGCGAGGCCTGGCTTTGCCGCGCGCCGCTCGGACAGACATAACCTCTGTGTGGCTCGGCGGCCGGCGGGGCGGCCGGCCAGCGCGCCGTAGCCTGTAGCCTGGTGTTTGCGGCTTTGGATTTCGACGTCGCGTCTGTCGGACGAGTGGCGACGTTCTAAAAGTGACGGCGGCGTGCTTTTGGCGGTTTGTCGCCGTGCCTCTGTCGCTCTCATGGGGCGTCCCGTAGGGGCGCGAGAGAGACGGCGGCGAAAAACAGCTCTTCGGAAGCAGACCGAAGTCCTTGACGCCGCGCGCCGAAAACGAAACGAAACTGCGAGCAGAGTGTAGAGTCAGTGTTTGCATGAGCCGGCTTGCTTTTATAGCCGCGCCGGTCTGCAGGCCGAGTCCGAACGGCGTCCGCGGCGCTGTCTCTCTCGCACTCGCGGGGCGTCCTGCGTAGTCCTGCGGGTGCGAGCGAGGCAGGGCGCTGCTGGCGCGGCGCTCGTATGGTCCGCCTGGTCTGGCTGGTCTGGCCGCCGAGGCCCCGGCTTGAGCACGGCGAGCAGGGCCTCCTACTTGAAGGCCCGCCGGCACATTACCGCGGCGGCCGGCACACTGGCAGGGAGGTCTCTCTCGCGCTCATGGCGCGCTGCGTAAGAGTGCGAGAGAGACTGACTGTTCGGAATCACTCTGGGCCCGGCGGACCCGTCCTGCGTCCTAGGGGCCCAGTGGGGCCCAGGCCGGCCCAGGCCCCACCGCGGGGCCGCCGCGGGGCCACCCAGGCGTCTCGGGCCCGCAGCCCGCAGGGCGAGCCGCACGGCCATGGCAGGGCCGCGAGGGCAGCGGGGCCGCGCGGGACTGCCGGGGTCAGGCCGGTCTTAGGTCGGCGGCCAAGTCAATCCGCCCCGCCCCTCCCCTCCCCTCCCCTCCCCACCGCGCCCGCCGTGGCTGATCCTGTTGAATGGGAAGGCTCTGTGTACGCATTAGTACGCCGCATCCGCAGGATGTTTTATTTTGAGCCGTGCCGTGTCTCACTTCCCACTTTTATTTCCTCATCCCTTTCACCTTGTCCGTTTGCCTGCAGGTCTGTCTGTCTGTCGACTTGTCGATCCGTCCGTCTGTCTGTCTGTCTGTTGACTTGTCGGTCCGTCCGTCACCCTTCTTCTGGCCCACTGTGCTGCATATGCCCCGCGTGCCATTGGCGGGGCGCGGCGCCACCGCGGCCAGCCGTAGTGAATTTATCCTCCGGATTCCCAGTTTCCGCCAGGACACCCCGGGGACGTGCACCGTCTCTATTGCCCCCCCCCCCCCCAACAATCCTGCTTGGGCCCCGGCCAGGTTTCGGTCTCGTTGGGACTGTGTCGCGGGAAAGTGAGTGCGATCTGGGAGGGGCGCGGCTGCTGCGGCACTGTAGGCCGGCCTTCCGACTGCCCGCCGCCTGCCTGCCTACAACTTTGTAAGAGAAAGAAAGCCCTGTGCTAAAAACTAATATGCTTAAAATTTTGAAAGCATTTTTCTCCGGTTCAAAGATTTGCTGTCAGGACGAACTGCACGGTAAACCTGTCCGCTGACACCCGTGATCGGCAGACCGCCAAGCCCGAGTGGGTTCCCGAAGGCGTCTGAGACGCGTCCCGTGTCGTGTGGGGCCGATTGGCGCGAACCTCGCCGTGTTCGGTCTCGGCCCGCCCCGTCGGCCCGCCCTTGCCCTGCCTGCCTTAACAATTAGAACGGGCGCGGTAACGAGCCGGGTCAAGCAGTGTCGTCGCTCTGTCTCTCTCGCTCTCGTGGCGAGTCGGGGACAGTCGGGGTGCGCCGGTCGGTCATTGTGACGCTGTCCACAGCTGTCCACATGGACGGACAGCCTGGTCCGTCATCGCCGTTTGAACGCCCGCCCCGAGGGCGTTTCAAACCGGAAATGACGTCATTCGTGCAATCGTGGTGCGGAAGCACTCGTTGACGGAGGGGCGCGAAAATGGGGCCCAACGCGGCGTTTTGAGATTGGCGCGCGGCGGCCTGCCACGCATTTCTCGGCTTTCCTTTTTGCACGATCTGCGGGGCCGGCTGGCCGCTGATGCTACCCATTTTATCGACAGTCCCTGGCGCCTATTTTCTGCGCGCCCCGCCCCGCCCCGCCCCGCACGGCCCTGCCTCGCCTCGCCACGCCACGCCTCGCCACGCCACGCCCTGCGCCGCGTGTCACTAGAGTCGAAATGTATATGAGGGGCGCCGGCGCGGGCCTTCTGGTGGGGTGGGGTCTGCAGGCCGAAGCGGACGCTGGCTTCTCTCTCGCACGCATCGGGCGTCCCGCGGGGGTGCGAGGGAGACAGAGCGACACCTGCTGGCGCGAGGCGCGAGGCATTGGCAGCTGCCCCTACACCGTAGGCCCCTACACCCTATCCCGAACTGAAACAAGAAGCGACGCGTCTCATTCATCAGCGATTAAGTTACCTTTGCTGCCGTTGTCGCCTTGCCGCCTGGCTGCTGAATGGACCCCCCCTCTCGCGACAATCACTTGCTGTCCCGGCGACGGCTGGGCCGCGGGTTCGAGTCCCCAGCACGGCCGTGAGTCGCTCTCGTCGCCGGGTCTGTCTCTCTCGCACCTGTCCGCGACACACCCTCGAGAGCAAGAGAGGCAGAGCGACGGTAACGGAAGTCCGCTGCAGCCTGTTTTCCTCCTAGCACGCTCCGATTGGGCGGCCTCTCCGCCGGTCGTTCCCCGCGACACTGCTTGCGCGGGCGGGGCGCCACTATGCCGCCATGCCTCTACACTGTGCCACCACACCGCGCCACCGCTCCAATTGGTTTTCCAGCTTCCCGCGGCTCCGTTTCCGCGGAACGCGCGACGCGGCTGCTTCTTTGGCGCCGCGACCGCTATGAGAAACTCGCGCGGCCTTCATTATGATTTCCATTGTATTTCGCGCGCGGCTCCTGTGTGGCCCGCCCCGCGCCGCGCCGCCCCGGCAACGGGACATACGCGTATGGCGGATGCGTCCCCTCCCCCCTCGCCCCTTTTTTGCACTGTCCGCCTTTCTGAAGGGGCAATTACCATTGTCTATGGGACTTTTCCCTTTATCTCTGGCGGGACGACGCAAATTATGTTGACACATGCCGAAGGGAACCGAAAGGGAACCAACCAACGCGGGAACGGGGAGGGGAGGCGCTATTTACCTGGGCGGTCCCGCGGGCGAACCGAACGCTTCGCGACGTGTAGTTCGCGGTGTCGCGGAGTAATCCCCCCTCCCCCCCCCTCGCGGGGTTTCGTCTTCTGCCGAGTCGCCGCGCCGCCGAGAAGCCGGCCGCCCTCTCCCAGACGTCACGGGCACGAAGCAAGTTCGGCGAATTAAATTGGTGGAAACGCCGCGGCGGTCGCGGCCCGTGGCGCAGCCGCGCAGCCCTCCAGCCGCTCCTCCTGCTCCTCGTCGGCTGGAGCGGCTGGAGCGGCTGGAGCGGCTGGAGCGGCTGGAGCGGCTGGAGCGGCTGGAGCGGCTGGAGCGGCTGGAGCGGCTGGAGCGGCTGGAGCGGCTGGAGCGGCTGGAGCGGCTGGAGCGGCTGGAGCGGCTGGAGCGGCTGGAGCGGCTGGAGCGGCGCGGCGCGCGGTTTCTCCGGCCTGCGATTAAATAATTTGGTCTAGTTTGACTTCCTTGGACCGGAAAACGAGAGGCGGGCGTCGCCACCCTCGGTGTGCCCGCCGTGCAATCCGGGAATGTGGCGGCTGGAGTCCAGGCGCGGACCCAGTGGGGTGTCGTCATCGTGGCCGCTGGGCCCGCTGCAGGGCGCTGGAGGACAACTGTCCCCCGCCTCTCCTTTCTTGGCCTCTAGAGGTGCCTGAAAGGTAGTTGAAAAGTCACACGGAAAGTGTCACTTGCCCCCCCCCCCCCTTTTTGGCTGACACTGGATCCGCCACTGGATCGCGAGTCGCCTGCGCCTCCTCTCGGCGAGTCGGCCGATCGAAGCCGGAATTTGAGTGCCTGGCGCGGTGCCTGTCCTGTGGCACCCAATAATGCGGGCCCTTGCGAGAACTTGCAGGCCGCGGCCTCTGAGGGCAGGGCGGGCAGGGCGGGCAGGGCGGCGTGCCGCTGCGGCTTTGGACGCTCGCAGAGCCCAGCCCGGCCTAGCCGGCCCGCCTCCAGCGGCTCCCAACTTCGCGCGCTAGCCGTGCGGTGCCGTGGACTGATTCCGAGACGCGTTTTCGTCGCTCCGTCTCTCTCGCACCTGTACGGGCCGCGCCGTGAGTGCGAGGGAGACGGAGCGACGACTCTCGGAATGAGGCTGGCGTGCGGCTTTGGGACGCAGGGCGGGTAAATTACCCGCGTTCGGCGGCAAGGCAAGGAGAGCCGCGCTAATGTAACGACTCTCTATCGCCAAGTTCGGAAATAACGGCGATACCGGTGGGCTGATGTCTGATACACGATATGGCGCCGGGGCGGGGCGGGGCGGGGCGGGGCGGGGCGGGGGGGGTGGATGCGTCTGGTTGCGTCGGGCCCGGGCCGGGGGTGGGACTTGTACACAGAAACCGCATCGAGCAAGACACGAATAAAACATGAAGCGGCAGCGGCCGGAGCGGAATCCGAAGCACGGCAGATTTGGCGATAAGAGCTTCCCTCAGTAATGATTGCCCTGCCTGCCCCCTGCGCCCCCCGGCCTCGCCTCTGCCGGTGCACGCTGCAACCCCCTCCCCTCCCCGCCCCGCTTGGTTGCTATCCCAAACCGGACGCGCCCTATCACGGCCTGCATATTGGCGCCGGCGCCACCCGGATTGGCAGATGACTTTTTCCAGCGGACGTCCAGTGCAGCCGGAAGCGCCAACAAGCCCCCCCCCCTCTAATCCCTCGATGGCGCCCTTTGGTGGGCGTGTCGAGAAATTAAGGGCTGTGCCGCTTTCAGCTCGGCAGCTTTGGGATTGGCGCGGCGCGCCCTCGGGCTTTCAGCGGCCGGGCTTTCAGCATCCACTCGGCTTGCGGCTTTTAGCC